TCGACAGGCGGATTGGTTCGGCGTCTGCAGTGATGCGGACGCTGAGCTGATCTGTCGTGGTGAAGAGGGAGCTGAGCCAGAAAGCCAGGCTCTCGATTTCCCGGCCGATCTACGTCCCAATCCTCACCTATGGTCATGAGCTTTGGGTAATGACCGAAAGAACGAGATTGCGGATACAAGCAGTCGAGTTTCCTCCGTAGGGTGGCCGAGCTCAGCCTTAGAGATAGGGTAAGGAGCTAGGACATTCGCGAGGGACTCGGAGTAGAACCACTGCTCCTCCGGATCGAGAGGAGTCAGTTGAGGTGGTTTGGGCATCTGGTCAGGATGCCTCCTGGACGCCTCCCCGGGGAGGTGTTTCGGGCATGTCCTGCCGGCAGGAGGCCCCCGGGTCAACCCAGGACACGTTGGAGAGGTTACATCTCCAATCTGGTCCGGGAACGCCTTGGGGTTCTGCCGGAGGAGCTGGTGGAGGTGGCCGGGGAGAGGACGGTCTGGAGCTCCCTAGTTGGGATGCTGCCCCCGCGACCCGGACCCAGATAAGCGGAGGAAGAAGACGACGACGACGTATTTGTGTATTTTAAATGTGATTTTAAAAGCTGCTGTTTTATGTTGTCAGGTTGATTTTAATGAGCTATGGGATTGCTGTTCTTGCTCCTGGAAAGCAGAATTGCTTCTGTGTGTGAAACATATAAATAAAGCTGCCTTTGCCTTGTAAAGGTGACACCTGTGTACCGGCTGACTAAACTACAGCTTTACTATAATATAGTAGCTAATCTACATCTGCTCCCATCAATGGTGGTGTCACCCAGGAATCGCCATAGTAACCATCTGTGGTCCGATCAGCCAGGATGGATGTTCACACGGTCCAACAGGTAGAGCGCTGACACGGTGACTTTAGTAAAGGTGCAGCTGAAATGCTTTTTATACATGGTGCTGTAGTCCAGGGCATAAAAACCTACTTCTCCTATGTGTGTCAGAACTGTCAGTAATGATACAGCACCCTGGAAGGAACACACACACACACACACACACACACACACACACACACACACACACACACACACACACACTAATACCCACGCTGCTCATACAGGGACAAGAAAGTAAGTGAGCCGGGTCTTTTCATCAGTTCCACAGTGCTGCCTTCACACTGAGCTGGTCTCAGCCCATCATGTATAACGCCACGGCTCGTGTCGTTACATTCACTAAACAAAGGCACGACTTAGCACAGCAGTGGGATGGCTCACGTGTAAAACAGGAAGTTAAACATGTTCAGAGGCAAACGAGTGATGAGTTGTGAGAAAATGAAGAAGAACTAACGATGACAGAAAACCAAAAGCGTGAGACGTAGAGCTTGAATATTTTTTTCATTAGGTGTGATGAGAGCGTTGTATTTATTTGAATCGCTGCCTGGAAACTTCCTTAAAGCAGAAGTTGTGAAACGTTCGTCCAAAACAACCATATTTTATTGAGTTTGTTTGCAATGAAAAATAAATCCACATCAACACAACCCTTTTGATTGTTCCCAGATCGGCTGAATAGATGCTTGAGTAAGATAACAAGTGTAAAATGTGCTCTAGTGGCTGACCTTCAGGTCAAAAGGTTAAGCGCCAGAAAACACGATTAGATTCTCAAAACTCAGCAGGTTACATTTAACAACTCCATCGCAGTGGTTTTAATGCCTGATTATAAACTGATTAGAGGGTTTTAAAGTTGCTTTTCCATGTTGTGAATTTACTAACAAGCCTGTATAAGAATCACGATGTGGAAAGTTCCTGTTTATAGTTGGAGCTGCAGAGATGAACAAAAGAATCGGTTGTTTCTGCGGTTAGAAACTTCTGATCATCGTCAGAACGCTCTGCTCAGACTGAACAGCAACGCTAAACCCAGGTTCACCAGCAGACATGTTTACATGCAGCTGTGCACAGATGTGGAAGCGTTTATTAAAATGCAGTTCAGATTTGAATCTGGCCCTTGCAAGTTTTACAGGCTGCCTAAATAAACTTTGGAATTCCTGTTTGCCTCTCGCTCATCGTCTGAGGGTCTAGGGCTGCAGCCCGGGAGGGTTTTGATCAACATGAAGGACTACTGAGGACATGTTATCCTACATGAACTTTAACTCAGCATTCTTCGCAGTTTCAGACACCTGTCAGTGATGTGCGTGACGGAGAAGAGACGCTCTTGGTGTGGCACAAACCAGAAAAGCAAAGTGAGCCGAGGTCAAACCGTGCCCATGAGGCTCATATCCTGGATGAAGAACTCTGGTGACTGATGCTTCTTTTAGCTGTGAAACTTTGCATTTTTGCACCCGTGCCATTGAGGAAGTGTGAGTTATCTCCATACCTATGCAAAGAAATGTAAAACCAGCAAAGGCTTTGCAGTAAAATCTCTTTGTTCTCTTTGGACTCACTAACAGGTGTGAGGGCAGGAGCTCGATGCACGAGCGTGGCCTCACTTTTACAAAAACACCCTTTCCAATTCTGCCTCTTCCAGCTTCTTCTTCTCTCTCCCTCTCTCTCTCTCTCTCTCTCTCTCCCTCTCTCTCTCCCTCTCTCTCTCTCTGTCTCTGTCTCTCCCTCTCTCTCTCTCTCTCTCTCTCTGTCTCTGTCTCTCCCTCTCTCTCTCTCTCTCTCTCTCTCCCTCTCTCTCTCTCTCTCTCTCTCTGTCTCTGTCTCTCCCTCTCTCTCTCTCTCTCTCTCTGTCTCTCCCTCTCTCTCTCTCTCTCTCTCTCTCTCTCTCCCTCTCTCTCTCCCTCTCTCTCTCCCTCTCTCTCTCCCTCTCTCTCTCTCCCTCGCTCTCTCTCCCTCGCTCTCTTTCTCTTTCTTTCCCTCTCTCTCTTTCTTTCCCTCTCTCTCTCCCTCGCTCCCTCTCCCTCCCTCTCCCTCCCTCTCCCTCCCTCTCTCCCTCTCTCTCTCCCTCTCTCCCTCCCTCTCTCTCTCCCTCTCCCTCTCTCTCTCCCTCTCTCCCTCTCTCTCTCTCTCTCTCTCTCTCTCTCTCTCTCTCTCTCTCTCTCTCTCTCTCTCTCTCTCTCTCTCTCTCTCTCTCTCTCTCTCTCTCTCTCCCCCCACTGTGCCAAACACAGGCCATCTTTGTGATTCAGTCGGAAATGCAACTGGAGCCAAACGCGCCTCAGTTCCTGTTTGATATCATCCCTCCTTTGTTCTCGCCACCTCCCAAAGCCATGTGCTCGACCGCAGGCCGCATCAGTCAGACGCACGGGCGCACGCGACGCTTTGACAAGATGTATCTCGTGATGCGCTGCGTGTGTGACTCGAGGTGACATTTAAGCTCGTGTTGAGATAAAGGTCAAACAGATGTCTCCCGCTGGGTGCGACGGGAGGCTTGCATCAGGTGGCGTAATGTACAGCTGATGGCATCACGTATCTTTACCGCACACCGTCGGCTTTCAGCTTTGTGTGAACGCTGTTCGGATCTGGCAACTAAACACGACTTAAACACGATCCAGTCGATCCGTCAGGTGTGACTATTGAGCAGGATTGTTGAACATTCAAGGCGGCATCTCCAAAGAAGCCGTGTGTGTGCATGTGTGTGTGTGTGTTTCGATCCTCCACAAGCCCTGCAGGGAGACAGAGGAGTCGACAAGCTGAATACTAATAATATTCACCAACATAACTTCTCATTCAGATGACTAGCAGTGATGAGCTTAACATCAAACGCCCGTTTCATCCGTGGAATAAGTTGGCATAAAGGATTTTAGTAAACACGGGAGGCTCCTAACTCTTCTTCACTCGTGGAATAAGTTCAATGCCATGCTCCCATGCTGTGTTTGTGCGTGATACCGTCACGTCGAAACACTAAACTGCTAATAAATAAAGTCATTTTAATGCACTCGTTCTAAAAAAGACATAAAATCTGAAATAGTTTGGCCCGCTCTGTCGGAGGAATCTCTGAAGTGGTTTTGTTTGAAGTACTCGACTCACTGGGGAATCTGGGATGTTTATTTGGCAGTTTTATTTTTCACTTCACAGTCCCTACATGCTCGGCTACAAATGAACAGCCTCGTATTTGTTTTGGTTTTCAGAGAGCAACGCAACGAAGCGAGCACACGCCCCTAAATGTCTTGGTCACACGTCGAAAAAAAAGCAAATGTGGATCGGAGCAAAGATGTTTTAAAGTCCCTCACAAAAGTTTGGAACCTCTAAGCTGCGGCTGGCCGGATGCCGACTGCGTTAAACAAGCAGATAAGGAGAGAGGACGGCCATTTATCACTTGACACTGACAGCCTCGCACGTCGTCTGTCTCCCGGGCTGCTGCCGAGCCGCCACGCTCTCCTGCAGCCGCTTCTCCACCTCTTGTCACGTCTTCCCTCTTCAACTACTTCTACTTTCATGGCCTGACCTCCGCTCTGTCCTTGCGTCCCCCTTTCCGCCCCCTCGTCCAGCCGCGTCCCTCCTACCTACACCCCACGCTGGCTGCACTGATGACAATCAGATGTTCCCGATTCTCCCCGCTATGCTGTGTCACTTCATTAGGAGCGAGAAAGGATGACCTTGCACTCCTCATTTCTCTCTCAGCCTCCCTTTTCTTCAAGTCATGCACTCCTCCAGCTGTCCCTCTTTCTCTCATTTGTCTCCCCCCCCCCTCCCCCTCAGCCTCAGACAGCCAAGCAAGAGCCTCTCGTCTCTCTCTCTGTCTTTTCTGACTCTCATCCCACCTAACCTTTTTCTTGTCTCTCCGTTTCTTCTTTTGTCCCTGCCCTCATTGTTCGACTTCATTATCAAACGCTGTCAGAATCCCCCCCACCCCCCGCGCCCAACACCAGGTTATTTATAGCTAACAGTAGCTGGTGAGTTCAGTGATGCGCAGAGGTGAGCCATCTTGGGCCCTGCATGGCTCCCCCACTCTTTACCTGACATTTAACATCTGCATACGCACACACACACACACACACTACGACGCATCAAAGCCGTCCATTCTCCTGTCAGGGTACTCGAGTAATAAACTGCCAGTCTGAAGAGGATGCACCATCCAGCTCCTACCTGTCTCTCAGACATCACGTAGAGGAAGTTGCGGTCGAGAGAGAAGGCCATGTCTCTGAGGATGGGGCTGCCGTCTTTTATGACCGATACGGTCTCGTACTGGACGCCGCCATGAGGAGGCCCGTCGGCACGAATCTGAGGAGAAAGCAGATGACAAACAGGTCAGGCGGAGCTATTTTTGTTTGACAGGCAGCAGAAACAGGAAAACGGGTGAGCGGTGATTGACGGGAGTGACAGACAAGAGTCGGATAGCATTTGTCGTCGTCGTTAGCAGGCATCGACTCGTAGATAGAGATTCTTTACGGCGGCTGCTGGGAAATAGAAGCAAGAGTCCTGAAGATATGTGTCGAACTGCTATTTTTAACAACATGAGGTAAATGTTCAGGCAGTTCCTCGGGTTACAGAAACTGTAAGAACTTAATGGCTGATATTATTAAACCTTTGTGAAACCTTAGCTCTGTTTTCATTCCCTCCTGATGAATGAGGAATTCTTCGAGCAAAGCTTTGAACTGGGAGCCAAGACCATATCACTACAAAAACAGTGGCCCGACATCCTAATGAATTGCCTGTTATTCGACCCTTCTTAGACCCGGACACAGACTTTCTTCTGATCACGTTGGTGATGTGAATTTGAAACCCTGGAGAGAAACTCAGAACAGGAGGAACCTCTGGTTTGTTGATGCGAGGCAAGGGAGACGTCTACGATGTCAGATGTCACAAAGCCCTCCCCAACCATCAGAGCTGATGGCTCTATCATCTGTCTATTCCCGTCCGCCTCCCCTCCACCCCAACATTCATCTGTCTGTTCAGGTGGTGACAGTCCCAAAGAGCAGACCGGCTCTCTAAAACATAACTCAAGAGGGGAAAGTCAGGGTCATACATCTGTCAAAAGAATGTCTGCCGGGAGGGCGAAGGGGTGTGTGAGCTAATGTGTGCACACACAGGGTGTCATGTTTGTTTCTGAGGCTGTGTGTGTGTCAAACTGCTCGATGGGTCAACTAAGGGAAAAGTGATGCAGGTTTGTGAAAGTCCCCGGAGCTTTACTGTCAGAGCTTGAAGGTTAGCAGCGAATTCCTCCACAGTTAGAGCGCAGGGCTGTAAGTGGTCGAGCTTTCTACGGCTGACCTGCGTCTGACCTGGGGGGGGGGCTAATCCAAAAGTTGACAACGGGACATATGTGAAACCCATATGTGTGAGCAGGGCGGCGGGATGCGGGGGCTGTGCCAGTCTTCGTCTGGTTGCTGACAGAGCAGCAGGCCGGGGGGCCTCAGCAAATCAGCTCGCCCAGAAAGCATGTCAGTGCAGGGCCAGACCAGCACTGCTCCGCTCACCGCTGTGTGCTGTGTGTGTGTGTGCTGTGTGTGTGTCAGCGCGTTGGAGCCTTCCCCGCTGAGATATGTGTCCTAGCAGGCCATCGCGAGGATCACCAGATAACCCCACCTTCCTGCTGCGAGCTGCAGTTCATCTGAATCAGATTGTTATCAGACTCACCGCTGACTGGGGGCGTCGTAATTCACACTGGACACACACACACACACACACACACACACACACACACACGCACACTCAGACACACACACACACACACAGGCATACACACATGCATGTGTACACACACGGGCATAGAGGCGTACACACATACAGGCACACAAGTGTGCACGTATGCACTCACACACACACACACACAGGCATACACACATGCATGTGTACACACACGGGCATAGAGGCGTACACACATACAGGCACACAAGTGTGCACGTATGCACTCACACACACACACACATACATACATGCATACACACACACACACATACATGCATACACACACACATGCATACACACATACAGCTTCCCCCCCCCCCCCACACACACACACACACAGACACACACACATGCATGCATTCACTCACATTGGCATACATTTATACACCTAAAACAACCCACACACAAACCCACACACACACACATACACACACACACACACACACACACACACACACACACACACACACACACACACACACACACACATACACACACACAAACATACACACACAGACACACAAACCCACACACACACACACATTGATGAGCTAATAGCTAGTCTGGCACATTGTTTCTTCTATGGCCTTCTAGAAATATTAGCGAGCACTAATATTCTCAACAGCAGCAAATTGTAGCGTTTCCTGATAATTCTGCAGAAATGATAAACTGATCTGGAGCTAAACTGAACAAAAGTTCAGTAACCTACATTCAAATGAGCTTTGGCAAAATTTCTGAGCTCTTTTGGAGAAATGCTGATTAGTTGTGACCAGACAAGAGCCTTCGATGCACCGGAGGAGTTGCATTTGGCTGCAGTTGTTGATGTTTATATTTGCTAATAGTACGAATCTGTATGAACACCTGTAATGCCAGAGAGATGGCAGTCACAGTTTTTCAATGAAAACATTAGTTGTGAATGAAACAATTAGCTAATGGCTAGCACCATGTTAGAATATGCCATTCAGGAGAAATTCATCTGCAAAGCAGAAATCAGCCATCCGTCCCACTTTACGTGATTCTTCCAGGAAGACTCGACCCCTGATCCAGAGGAAGCACTGTGTTTGTTGCTGTCAGCGGTATTCACACATACAGTGGGGCAAAAAAGTATTTAGTCAGCCACCGATTGTGCAAGTTCTCCCACTTAAAATGATGACAGAGGTCAGTAATTTACATCATAGGTACACTTCAACTGTGAGAGACAGAATGTGAAAAAAAAATCCATGAATTCACATGGCAGGATTTTTAAAGAATTTATTTGTAAATCAGGGTGGAAAATAAGTATTTGGTCAATAACAAAAATTCAACTCAATACCTTTGTTAACAATAACAGAGGTCAAACGATTACTATAGGTCTTTACCAGGTTTGCACACACAGTAGCTGGTATTTTGGCCCATTCCTCCATGCAGATCTTCTCGAGAGCAGTGATGTTTTGGGGCTGTCACGGAGCAACACGGACTTTCAACTCCCTCCACAGATTTTCTATGGGGTTGAGGTCTGGAGACTGGCTAGGCCACTCCAGGACTTTCAAATGCTTCTTACGGAGCCACTCCTTTGTTGCCTGGGCCGTGTGTTTGGGATCATTGTCGTGTTGGATGACCCAGCTACGTTTCATCTTCAAAGCTCTCACTGATGGAAGGAGGTTTTGGCTCAGAATCTCACGATACATGGCCCCATTCATTCTGTCCTTAACACGGATCAGTCGTCCTGACCCCTTAGCAGAAAAACAGCCCCAAAGCATGATGTTCCCACCCCCATGCTTCACAGTAGGTATGGTGTTCTTGGGATGCAACTCAGTATTCTTCTTCCTCCAAACACGACGAGTTGAGTTTATACCAAAAAGATCTACTTTGGTTTCATCTGACCACATGGCATTCTCCCAATCCTCTGCTGTATCATCCATGTGCTCTCTGGCAAACTTCAGACGGGCCTGGACGTGCACTGGCTTCAGCAGCGGAACACGTCTGGCACTGCAGGATTGGATTCCCTGCCGTTGTAGTGTGTTACTGATGGTGACCTTTGTTACTGTGGTCCCAGCTCTCTGCAGGTCATTCACCAGGTCCCCCTGTGTGGTTCTGGGATTCTTGCTCACCGTTCTCATGATCATTTTGACCCCACGGGATGAGATCTTGCGTGGAGCCCCAGATCGAGGGAGATTATCAGTGGTCTTGTATGTCTTCCATTTTCTGATAATTGCTCCCAAAGTTGATTTTTTCACACCAACCTGCTTGCCTATTGTAGATTCACTCTTCCCAGTCTGGTGCAGGTCTACAATTCTTTTCCTGGTGTCCTTCGAAAGCTCTTTGGTCTTGGCCATAGTGGAGTTTGGAGTCTGACTGTTTGAGGCTGTGGACAGGTGTCTTTTATACAGATAATGAGTTCAAACAGGTGCCATTAATACAGGTAATGAGTGGAGGACAGAAAAGCTTCTTAAAGAAGACGTTACAGGTCTGTGAGAGCCAGAGATTTTCCTTGTTTGAAGTGACCAAATACTTATTTTCCACCCTGATTTACGAATAAATTCTTTAAAAATCCTGCCATGTGAATTCATGGATTTTTTTCACATTCTGTCTCTCACAGTTGAAGTGTACCTATGATGTAAATTACTGACCTCTGTCATCATTTTAAGTGGGAGAACTTGCACAATCGGTGGCTGACTAAATACTTTTTTGCCCCACTATATGTAAACAGCAGTCTGTGAAAATGGCCATATAAAGCAAAGCAGACAACGCTGTAAAGGTTTAGTAAAAGAAAAAGACTTTAATCTGTAACATTTTACAGGCCGCAGCTGTTTGCAGCTAAATACTTTGTTCGTAGCTTGTTGAGGAAACAGTTATTCTGGATCAAAGTCATACAAGAAGGTATCTAGAACGGGTTTGAGAATCATATTTTCTAAAATTCATGTACAATCTTCAAAATGACCAAAATGTCCCTTTAAAAGGAACTTTTTAATAAAGACAGAGCTTTTATTCCCATCTAATGCTAATGGCTCCTGCCAAACAAAGTCAAATCCACTTCAGCTACTCTGGAACATTCTCACCTCCCACCATGTGCACACAAACACTCCTACATCCAGCTGCTTTTCACATTAAATGCTGTTGTTTTTTCATAGTGGCAGTAAATTCTGCGACGGTGTTACATTTACACGTAAACACACGCCTACTGCTCTAATAGAAAAGGGAGAGACGGGGGGAGCCGTCTCGATGTGGACTAATGGGAAAAAAACAAGCAAAAAAAATATGTTATAGGTAAAAAAATAGAATTATGCCAAAAACTCTTATTTTGTGAGGCATTTTCTCACCACTAGTGCGCCGTTATCCTCCTAACCCTCCGTTTGCCTCAGTTTTGCTGTAACTCAACGTTTAGCGAGACCTTCGTACTGAAACCCGTGCCTTTTGTTGAACCTGCATCGTAATCGAACAACACGAGACAGCCGTGAGACGACTGAGGTCCATGCCCTCCAGCTTCTCCAATATCTCTCCCTGTGCAGGAGAACAAATGAGCCCCAGCACCCTGGAGAACTGTCCTCTGGTTTGCCCCCACCCCCGTTTCAACACCTCAGCTATTATCCAGAGTCTCTCCATCAGCAGCAGCA